GAATATTCTTGGAAAATGTAAGTTCTTTGAAATTCACAATATAATAAAGTAAGTGTGTCTTTATGCAAGTGTGTATTTTTAATGTGTTATGTTTATTATTTAAGCCATCTTTTCAGAAATAAGCATACATTGCATAGCTTTTCCTTCACTGTTTTAAAAAAAGGGCAACAAATACGTGAGTAAATATGGTGACTGACAGAAGTGCTGCAAACTCAGTATTAAGGACATAAAATATTATTTACAAAACACCTGTATGTTTGAAAATACTTGCAACAGCATTACTACCTATTTTTGAAGTTGCATATTCTTCTGAGTTATTCTCAGTAGTGAACTTCATAAAACCTTAACAGGAGCAGCTAGCCTAAGTGACGAAACTAGCAGTGAATCTATACCTATAAAATTTACAGAATATAAACTTGATAAAAATTATCCAGCACTAGTAACACAATAGTGGATATTTCATATATGATACAAAATAAAATATTAGCTTTTGATTCCAGTTTGCTGCTAACAAATATGGAGATTAATTTCAGTTCTGTGTAAATTGCAGATAAAAATTAGGATTTTAGTTTCTCACAAACTTTGCATGTTATAATATATAATCCATAATTCTTTAAAAATTAATAAAACTACCCTTTAATTTGATTTTCTTGAATTGTGGACCAACCATGTGAAATGGTTAACAGATTAAGTTCTGTGACATATTGGATAAAACCTAAGAATCATATTCGATTGACCTTTAATGATGAGGAATCGAAATTCTTTACTCTTTTGTTTATGCTAAAAGGTGTACCTTTAAGAGGTGAAACTATATAGCAGGCAGAATCACATTAAAAACTTAATGAAATATAGAAAGCAATGAGCAAGGTAGAAAGAATGTAAATAAAAATTAAATTCTGTCATCGACTGTTACATTCATTCAATCCCTTGAGACTTAAAAAACTCTGTTACACCATTCGTATTTGATTTTTAATTGTTTAAAAAATGACAGAGAAGTGAAAGTGAATAAAGTGACATTTGAAAAGTAACTAAAAATACACATATTACATAATATGTTTCCCAAAATTTAAGTTTGGAGATAAGGAAATCTTGCAGCACGGGTTTAGTGATTTTTTGTCACTCATTTAAAATGATTGTTATCTCCTGATCCATCCCATCAACATTTTGTCAACAGTATTTCATATCCTATGAGGTATTTCTCCCACCTTCTTAGCATGCCTTCGTGGTGTATTGGTCAGGACGCTCGGTGCATATTCGAGAGGTCCGTGGTTCTAGCACTGGCAAGCTCATGGCTCATTTTTCATCTCTCCTGCCTTGAAATGACCTAATGTGTGTACAGTAGCGTCCTAACTAAAAAAAAAGGCAGTGGATGAGTCTCCTAATTCTCAGTTGCCCTTTAAAAGGGGGAGTATATAAGGAATTACTCCTACCCCTTCTTAGCATGCCTTCATGGTGTAATGGTCAGCCTGCTCGGCGCATATTCGAGGGGTCCGTGGTTCGAGTCAGCGCGAGGGCATTGCTTATTTTTCATCTCTCCTGCTCGAAACAACCTAATATCTCTACAACCCAATTTAAAAAGCGAGATTAAATTTGTTAAAATTCTGATGAAATGAATGTTACAGGCTGCTTATTTATACTCTGATTACCTTCCATCAATATTTCTTAAGCACTTTCATGTCATACTGATAAAGACATTCTGACTTTTACATTTTATTTTAGTTCACCATTGTATACAGTGAAATACACATAACTTAATCATATAAATAAAAGTTTGTGTACCAATCAATTATACTTTCTTTAGAAATTTGGCTAAATGACAAATAACATTTTATAAGGTATTTCTCCCACCTTCTTAGCATGCCTTTGTAGTGTAACGATCAGCACACTTGGTGTGTATTCGAGAGGTCCCAGGTTCGAGTCCCGGCAAGGGCATTTCTCATGTCTCCTGCTTCGAAATAACCTTTTGCCTCTACAGTGACGTCCGAACTAAAAAGAGGGGTGGATGATGATTCTTCACCACCAGGATTTGGCGAATGGGTCTCTTAATCCCCAGTCGCCCTTTATAAGGGGGAGAATACAAAGTATTTCTCCCGCCTTCTAAGCATGCCTTCGTGGTGTGTGGTCTGCACGCTGGGCGCGGATTCCAGAGGTCCGTGGTTCGATTCACGGCGAGGGCGTTTGCTCATTTTTCATCTCTTCTGCTTCCAAAATCCTAATATCTCTACAACCTCAGCGTGTACACTCAGCGTGTATTCGAGAGTTTCGAGGTTTGAGTCCTGGCTAGGACATAGTTTATTGTTCATGACTTCTGCTTCAAAATAACCTAATGTCTACAATTTCATACAGCTTTTACATATCTGTACAAAAGTTTTGTGTAAATTGAGTTTACCATAGTGTTATCAGAACTATATTCACTGTTGGAATTAGTTTCGTATTATATTATTATAAACCTATTTAAAAAATGATCATATTTTGAGATTGAAAATAGTGAAAGATTAATACTGATCCTATTGTCAAGACAAAGATAAAAATATTTTATTATTATTTATTGTTATATTTTATTGTTATTTCACTCTAAAAATACAGTAGAAGTCCAGAAATCCACAACACTTGGGACCAGAGGTTGTGCGGATTTTAGGATTTTGTGGATTTAAGGACAGAAAAGATAATATTCAGACTAAAAGTGCAAAATAAATAAGGCATATTAGATACATTTAATTAAATTATTATATACATTAATACAATAATTAATTATTATTACATATATAAACTGATTATATTATATTGTTCATTTACATTAGGCTCCTCTATTTTTAAATCAGCATAAATCTGCTTCCCCTTTCTCTCAGGAGTAGTCCTGAAATAAATACCCTATCACTCCGCCGCTGCCGGAACCACTTGTACAAGACAGCATCGAGGTTTGCCGATTTCACCTCATGTAAAGATTTCCTGTTTTAGATTCCGGTGTTAGAATCACTGTTGCTGCAAAATTTCAACAGCTTTTCTTTATTGTTCCGTATATCATACACAGTCCGTGTGGCAATTCCATACAATTCTGCTATAAACCGAGCAGTAGCACCTGGCTCTATCTTTAGCAGAATTTCCACATTTTTCATTACCGCCAATGCAAAGTGCTTACGTTTTTCAGTGTTGCAAGCAGTAAAATCAAGAGTGCGTTTCTTATCTGTCATTGTATTAAAAAGCACTGAAATTTAAAATATTCATAATTTATTCACAAAATATCCAGATAAAAAAAAAGGTCATCAATCACTAAACAATCTCGTGAAATAACAAAGCTCAGAAAATACAACGTGAAGCGTGAACTTGAAAGAAGAGTTGAGTTAACTGTCTGCTTTTTTACCTCAATGCAGGTTGGAGGGAAAAAAACAATAATTTTGTACTTCCGTTATGACTCATTATTATTTGGTAATTATGACGTCATTATCCAGCAAGTATTTTTTCCTCGATATTTCGTACTCCATGTTGCAGTTTCCGGAACCTATAAACTAAATGATTATATTTTGAAAGGCAACACGGATTTCAGGAATTGGCAGATTTTCAGTATTTGATTATATAAACAAAGTCTAGGAATGAAACTGATTTTTACTATTTAAATGTTTACTAAAATCTAATTTGCCAAAATACTATTAGTCAGAGATTAACTTCTGAAATCAGATATATTGGAACTCTACAGAAATGCATGTGAAACATTAAAAGGAAATCTAAATAATAAATAACACAAATAATTGAAATTAAGTAAAGTGATAAAAATATCAGATATGAAGTTAAACTAATAAAAATAGATAAATAAACTCATGTATCACAAAAAAATGAATGTGGTATAAAACAAATAAGTGAGGAAATTAATGACAGGAAGATATTGTACTAAGAATTAAAGAAAGGTAAATATTATTTTATCAGCTTTCTTTGCAGACAGCTAAGACTACTTCCTTATTAAGTTTTTAATTAATTTAAAGCATTTTTGACCAAAAAGGTATAGACAGCAGCTCCTGAATGCTAGCGTAGTTCAAGAAATGTTAATAACGCTTTCTTGATGAAGAAACTGCATTTCAGCATGCAGAATTTTCCTTCAGGTCTCAAGTCTCAAGGGAAGTGAAGCATGCACTCATCAGAAAGTATTTCAATGATATTTTTTTCTTGTTAAAATGAATGGTATTTTCTTTTGGTACTGTGATTCAATTATGTAACAAAATGCTAGAACAAAAGCACTTATTTGAGTTCTATAGTGCATCAACTTGGAACATTATTATACTCAAAAACTAAGAAGTCCTGGATCCAAAGTCCAGTGGGCTGTGGCTAAATTTGAGCCCTGCTTCAAGTGCATATGTTTAGATTTGCAGCATTTAGATTTATGGTCTCAGTTTACCTGTGCGATATACAGTACAAAGTCTAAAACCCTGACATCTAATGCTTGATGTGATCTGATATCCAGGCCTCCAGTCCACCAGCTGGGAAAAAAATAACAAAAAATCATCCTCTCCCTAAACAAAGTATGGGAACAGTTAATATAATATTCAATAAAAGGAAGTAGGTGTGCCGCAAATGCAATTTTTCACCTGGCTAATTGAGATTTCCGCATGCCACTTTGAAACACCTGCTGGCTACAGAATTGCAGTATGGCCAATGGTTGACAGTGTATTGATGTTGGAAAGGATCATACTTTCGCCCCTAGAGTAGTTGTGGAGGAAATTAGCATTTTTCTATCTGACTCAAACAAAAAATTAAGCTAAAATATTGTGACGTCTAAATGCCATTTACTAGATTTAAACTGATGATCTAAAAGCCAAAATTTCTGAAATCCAGAATAGCTGATGTCCTGACTATTCCATATCACTCACTTTTTGTACTATTAACCATTCAGACTATTGGCAAAAATACTAAGTTACACAAAAAAAAAAAATTCTAAGCACATGCACACTTTTATGCCACATAATTTTTAGAGAAAAGCAAAACTTTCAAGGAATTGTGGTTAAACTTACTTCAGTACACAATATTCATTACACTTTCGAGTTTTTTGCAGACGTGGTTTTAAATGGTTAGCACAATGATTGTCATTTACAGGATATTGATCAGACAACCGGACACAAATAGGCTTTAATGTGCTGATACCTAACATGAAAATAAAATGGCTATAAATAATGTAATGCCATATATAATTTTGAATTTTCATAACACTTTTAATATTTTGCATAGATAGCTGATATTAAAAAAGTATCCATTCTTTTTCCATCAAAATTCAGTAGGCTGAAAATAAAATGTAAGAATTCAAAAATGCTTAGATACAGAATTAGTGAACAGTTAAAATATTGTTCACATTGAGTAGACAACAAGATATTGTAATTAACTTTACCCAACAGCTTGTACATGTTTACTGAAGTAATTTCTCTTCATATGTTCATAATGAACTTATTACACGCGAGAATTCCTTTTTTTTTATTTTTTATTTATTTATTTTTTTAAATTAAACATAAAATAACATTTTTCAATTTTTGAGCTTTTTACAAGCTTTTAAAGCATTAAAATGTGGTAGGAATTCAAAACTTTCTGAGGCTGGCTGATGGAATAGGTAGACAAAAATGTAACGTTTGGAAACTTAAAGATCTGAATTAAGTTTAAGAATTTCTTACAGTCACAAAAGAATTCTATAATGTAATCTTCTTTTAAACTTGGCAAACTTCTTGGAAATTAACATTTTGTTGTCACGAGCAGCTAATTTTATGACTGACAGTGAATTTAGAAAGCATGCTTTAGTAACAAAGGTAAGTAATAAATACTAAAAACCAGTATCAGTTTTTGTACTCATTTTAATACAAACATACATTTAGTACATCCTGTAACATTTTTTTAGTTTAAAACAAAATGGTTATTGATTAATTTTTTTTCAGTGAAATGTGAGGTGTTCAACATAAGATGCAACCACCTTTCAGAGCTTTTGTTGAGGGGAAAAAAAAAAGAGTTGAGAGTATTGAGGGGGGGACAGTTGGAATTTCCTTGTGATTGAATATTTTTGGCAATCTTTCCCCTCCCCCCAAGGATTTGCTAATATTTAAGTTCCATTTCTGCTGTAAGTGTTTTCCTTAATGTTATTCCAATAAACAAGCATCTAGTGGGATTGAAACTAAAAACATACCTCTTCTGTAAAACATTCTAAGTGTAGAATATGAATGCATTTACATGGAAAGCTATTTCTACCATTGTAACACAAGAATTCTAGGCAATTTCAGAATGAGATATGAATATTTGTTTACACATTTTATATTTTACGGAAAAAAGAGTTACTGGCTTCACTTTATATGAGATAACCTCATTTGTGAAACATGAAATTATATAGCCAATTATGCATACACATTTGTGAATTACATGAAAGTCATTCTGAAATTTTTGAGATATGTGCAGATGATAAGTGGCAGAAAAAAAAATAATAGTTAGATTTGAATATTTGAATTATTTTAGCTTAGAGGATGATTTTTTACTGGCTAGTTGCAAGTAGTTTAATGCAGAATAAATTTTACGCAGCAAGAAAAATGGATAGCAAGTTATGATTTTCTATAACTTTAAAGTGGTATTAAATCAAGAAGAATGCGCTCAACGTCTACAATTAGCATTTGGAAATGAAGCTCATCTCGTGCCAATGTATTCAGATGGTTTATAGAATTTCACAGAAGGCGCAACTCTCATCTGGATGTAGAAAACACAGAGAGGCCGTTGTCAGCAATAGTCCCACACAGTATGTCTGCCATACGGAAAATGCTAATCAATGATAATCGCTACACCTACCAAATGATACAGAAGGAACTTAGCATTGGATCCACTGCCAAACAGAAAATTATTGAAGAATTGCATATGATGAAACTAGTTAGCTGTTGGGTTCCTCATAATTTACCTGAGCACCAAAAATAGCAGTCTCAGATTCAGTAAAGAAACCCTTAAATTACTTAAAGACAGTGACCACCGCATTATTTCTCAAGTCGCAAGTGGTGATGACATGCACACAATATATTTTGATGTCCCAACATGTTAAGAAAGTAAAGTATGGGTCTTTGAAGATGATCTCATGTCCACAATGGTGAAATGACAATGTGCCATGAAAAACTTACTGTATGCCATTTTATTCAGAAGTACAGGACTGGTCAAAGCCATCAAGCTGGAAGGGCAGAAGACAGTCACAGCTAATTCGAACACAACTAAGTGTCTTCCAGATATTCTTCAAGAAGTGAATGTTAGAGGACTCATTCTCCACCATGACATTGCATCTTTTTATTCAGCAACATTGACAGTTAAGTTTCTTGAACAAAAACACATAAGTGACAGGACATCCACCCTATTCTCCTGACCAAGCTATGCGTGACTGATGAGGCTATAAATGCATTTTTTTCCATTGATTCCAATAAATGAATGGCTTGAGGCATTTAATATCTGGAAAATTCACCTATAGAAGTGCAATGATGCTGGAGGAGACTACTTTGAAGACTCCTAAAATTTCATAAGTATAACTTTAATACCCTATGTGCATCTAAAAAATTTCAGAGCGACCCTAGTAGGAAAGGGGTTACAGCGGTATATAGAGATTTTGTGCTGCCGTCATTAGTTTTAGACTTTGGCAATCTTGTTTGTCTAGCGGCAAAATTCAATTCAAATTTTGTAAAGCAAATGGTTCTCATTACAAAATTTGAATTTTGCAATCAGAACCATTTGCTTGTTGATTTATGTTGGCTGTAGATGCTAACAATGATATTTGCTGATAGATGTCTCCAGTAAATGTTTTTTGCCTGCCCTGCTTTAGGTTAAGCTAGGAAAACCTATAACTCTTTGGAGTATTGCATGATTCTCAAACCAATCACACTAAAAAATGCTCCATAGTGTTACTTGAAAAAAAAAAAAAAAAAAAAAAAAAAAAAAACATCAGGCTAATAGGCTAGTTGAGAACCTTCATAGGTCACTGAAAGCTGCTACCAGTGCTCACACTACAGATTACAAATCATCAGCATTACCCACCACCTGCTAGATTTCCATGCTATGTTCAGAGAAATTTTGCATGTTACAAAGGCAGACTTCATGCATCAAATTAGGCTTTGTCTCTTGGGAAAATGTTTAACATCAATGCCTGCCACTTGCCGCTGTAGTGGTGACCCTAAGGATTGCTGTTGCCTGTACTAAGAAAGCTTTTTTTAGTGTAATCAGTTTGAGCATCCTGCTCTTCTGCTGCCTCCCCAATGTAGTGGCATGGATAAAATGTTTGTTGTTCTTGCTTATAGTTTTAAGATCAGATAGTCCATGGCAACATTTACATTTGGCCATTTACTTTTATTTACTTGTTTTACAGCCATTTACTTGTTGTCTATGCTAGTTATATTCGGTAATGGCTATGTTAGATGATAGCCGGCCTCAGTGAAGGTAGATGTTCTTTTAGGTGCTCTGTTAAGATCAGACTGAAAACTTGGACTAATTGGATGATAGTACAATACTCTACTATCAGTTTGAGCACCATACTACTATTCAGTTAATGGTTCCAGGCTCTGGCCTTGACCTGATGCAGAGCTGAAAAAGGATATCAAGCTTCATTAGCTTCACTAGTTGATCTGTCGATTAACATCATCATAAACAATTCTAGGCTCCATAGAGCAGCAGCATGTTGTTCTCCTCACCCCCACCTCCATATGTCGGAAGTGGACAGTATGAGACAGATAAGCTGCTTTTACAGGACTAGAACCATCATTCCTAGAGTTGTCTGTACAAACTCGACAAGGATTGTAATGATACTGTCAAGTCTGTCTTGGGCTGTGCTATCACTAGATGTTAAATTACATTAAAGGTTGTCCTTGGGGTTTGGACCTCTCGGGATCAGCTCTGGGGTGTGAGGTGAGAATATAAAAATCATGTATGGACTATTAGAAGGCCAGGGTCAGGGTTTCCCTCACTCTGGTGAAATGTTCTTCTTATTAAGTATAGAAGACACCATAAGACAAGATATAAAACTATAGAACACAACACATCCTTCACTCATCACTCTGTTGGTGACCCTAGGAAGTGATTTGCTGCTCTGCTGCATTCCCTTGCACACTGACAACCAACTGATTCACAGCAGCATTAACCAGATACTCATGCAGTCATGCCCAAGTAATGCATTATGGCAGCACTGACTAAAGGTTTGTTCACACCTAACAGCGAAGCACAATTGCCAACAGATTGCCACAGACAACACCACAACAAGCTTAACAGACTTGCTTGAGCCACTATGTGTGCTGTTTGTTTAATAATGAGCCTACCAAATGAAGTCTCTCGGATGATCTGTAGCAGCATTGGTTGCCCTGCATGAGAGATTCTGCTCCAAATGCACTTGCATTAAGAGAGCCCTTTTAGTACAATTGGTTTGAGCATCATCTAATGGGTTTCAGGTTCTGGCCTTGACCTGAAGCAGGACAGCTAAAGAACATCGATCTTTAATTGTACCATCTGTTACCTAACATTCGCTATTAATAAGCAACACAGACCAGCAGCAAATTGTTCTCCAAACTAAATATAAATGGCGGCACAAGACATGACCCCAAAAGTTCTAAAACTAATGCTAGCAGCAACAATATCTTTCACCCGCTGCAATAGGATCTTAATGCACGTTTTATACAACACATAGAAATTACCATATCCATATTCAGTGTGATAGTTGTCAAAATTTTTGAGGAACAGAATGAATAAGTTTCATTATAGAAAATATATGAGTATATAATACATATTTATGATTATAAATGCATACAAACATATCATTTACAGAAACATAGTAATTATTTGACTAAACTAAGGAAAACACCCATTTATTAATGATATTTATGGCCCATCTATACAAAAAAATCTATTTCAATAGTGTTTGTAAAATTAAGCACAAACTGAACACACATAAATTATTAGGAAATAATAAATAATCAGTCCAGAAAAATATAGAAAATATCACAAAATCAGATCAGAACACAATAAAAAGAACTAAACAAGAGTTAAATACCTAAAAGTAACTGTAAACTTTAAAGTTATATAAAAAAATTAAAGAAAAACAACTTATAAAAATACAGTAGGCAATAGAAAATATAATTTTGTATAAAAATCAGTATTGAAAAATCACATGCATACATATGTTTGTATTTCCTTTCTTTTTGATGTTAATAAAATAGGCACAAAACGTTAAAACACTTAGAAGGAAAGTACCATTGCAAACAAGACATAAAAACTACAATTTCGAATTAATAAGCAGAAACAAAATCTAATTAAAACCCAACATTACCACTGCACATTCGTGAACACTCAGAATATTGCGTTGCTAATTTCCATGAATACTTTTTGTAATCAGAAATAGGAACTGTATAACTGAAACTGATATTAGGCGGTTGAAGTTTCCCTACAACAAGAACCTAAGACAGAAAAAGAAAAAAAAATTAACGCAGGGGAAAATAAATAAAAATCAAAATAAATTAACACGTATACAGCAAAAGTGTAAATAATAAATAAATAATAAAAAAAAAAAAAAAAAAAAAAATACAAATTTTTTAATGTTTGTTTAAATTATACCTACGGCTACAAGCATTCGTATACTTTTTAAGAATTTTTTAAACAACCAAACATAAATCCAAATTCTTCATAAATCAAGAGATAAAAACATAATAGCAGAAAATCTCATCAGAAATTAAAATCACGAGTTTTAAGTTGCAATGGATAATTTTATTGGAAGTCTAGCCAAATGATAGAAAGCTCTTCATACAATGAATAAGAAGTTCAGTTTCTTAAGTAATTACTTCAGGTTTTCAGAAGCATACAGTACGAAGTCCGAGATCCGGACTCGTCGGGACATCGATGATTCAGGATTTTAGATCATCACTTTAAATCTCCTAGGATGACATATAGAAATTATAAAATTAAAAATACAAATGATTTTTTATGAAGTAACGAAGCATTTATGCCCTTAAGGGAATTAAAATTTACAAAAACAGCTCGATATATATTTGTTTGCTTTATAAACATTTCTTTTAAAGTAAGCTGTTTAATTTACTTCGTTCCTTGTGCTAATACTTTCTGTGTTTAATTTTATACATAGACATAATTTCTTGTTCAGTTGCAAATTTCAGTTGTTCAAGTCCTGTAACTGCCATGTCGAGAATTCCCACTAAATTGTCAATCAAATCCCCCCCCCTCAGCAATTCCTCTGTCACTTTCTTCAGCACTGTTAGCGATACTATCTGGATTTAGAACCGTATTACAGATTTTGTCATCCATTAGTTAACTGATGATTGGGACATTTTTATCGTAAAGGAAAATTATTATATGATCTTCATTTATTACCAATTCCCTACAAATTCCATTAATTAGAAAATTTCACTTTTTGTTTGCGATATTCACGAACCTTCAAATTTGCTTAATTAATTTGCTTAAATTGCTCAATTAAATAATCATAAAGTTTAGCTAGCCTCCTCTATACAATAATGGCGACAATGCGTCTCAGAGATTGGCGACAATGCGTCTCAGCCTCTGTTTACGCTGAGGCACTGAGGAAGTTAAGCCTGAATTGAGTTGGTTTAGTTTTACATCTCTTTCCTGTATAATGTTTATGGCTCACCTCATTCTTGAATAAGTAAATTCTCACATACATTTAAGTCTTATCTGGACAAATTTAACCAGCACTAAATGTAATCTTTTGGCTTATGCATATTAATTATAAAATCAGTTTTTTCCATTTGGAATGAAATTTCTCCTAGTAAACATACTCAGTGCTTCGCAGTGCATTTGACTGGTCTTCAATCGTTGCCAAGCGTAATGCCAACATAAAAAGTTACCATATTGTTTGGTACTCAGTTACTAATTAAGAAAAAAATATGTCTTAGATATCGCTGCCGTGAGTTGATAGGCAGGTGGCAATAAAAGCAACAAATAATAAAAAAAGATTCTCCAGTTCAGCGTCAGGGTTATAAGTTACTCAGCAGGTGTAAAATTGGTAACAAACATTGGTAGTATTTTAGTCTGCGTTGTAAGCTAAGCATGAAGGCAGATATGAAACCAAATTATTGATCATGCAGATTTATATTAATAAATGACTGTGTTTCTTCAATATGGAGGTACTTTATTTCGTATCGAAATGAAATTAAGAATTCCTCCCCCATACGCTATTGTTTTAAGCAAAAACTCTACTGTCTACTGCATATGCATGAAGCATTACGCATATGCTAAAGTAAGAGGCTAATTCTAGGAACATTATTTTCTTCCTTTTCGCAAAAAAATTCTAAAAAAAAACTGTTGGTTGTCCCGAAGTCCAGATATTGAACGTCTGGGTTTCAGACTGTGTTAATAAGAAGTGAAAGGAAGACGAAAGATATGCTAAGATGGAAATATGAATATCTGAATTACTACCTGAAGATCATTCACTCAGCAGACCTTAAGAGCAATTTCAATTTCTTTAACTGTTAAATTTACTTACTCACAGAAACTGGCTACTTGATGTATTTCAAAATAATGGGTGGTGTGCAAAATCAATGGGTGAGAATCAGGAGCTCAAAACATTCATGCAGGGAATTGCATTTGAATATACCAACAAGGTAGGCATATTTAACAGTCCTGAATGTTGGCCCCCTATATATTAGTTATTCTGCAATATTCTTTACATTAAATATTGTATAAGCCATTTTCAGTTTCAGCATATGACACTTAAGGTGCTAGTCTGCATTTGCTGTTGTATTGCACATAACCCCCCCCCCCCACACACACACACACAACCTATATGCAGCTGAAACAGAATGATCATCTCGCATGCTAGCATGTGAAAATAACTTATTTTGCTCAAACATATTCTGAAGTGAGCTATGAAGCCCGCTGATCATTGCTTTTGAAAGTATTTTTGCATATAAGCAGGGCCTCCTTTCCACAGAGAAAAAGTGAGGTCTCCTAATTCTCTTATAATATTTAAAATATGTTATGTATTTTTTGAAATTCCAGGTTTGAAAAAATTAGAAGCAGAACCCATCAGAAGACATCATTACTTTCACAACTAAAAGCGAATTTTATAACTCAACATTTTACTCATATACTTCATTACTGAGTTGATAAAAAATTCAACTGCATTAATTTGTCATACCTGTATAACTTAATTTGAGTTCATAGTAAAATTAACAAGTATTCCTCAGGCTCTGTTCCCCTTTTTTGGAAGGGCTTCTTTAGGGAAACACAAAATCATGAAAACGATATTTTATGCAACACATATTAAACTGAAACAAGTCAAAAATGGACTCTTTTCCTCCCATTCTAAAGCTGAACTGGCCAGAGAGACTTTGCTTTCTTCTCACCTAAGTCTGAATTAGGATTACGCCGCCGTTGGCGGACAGCAAAAAAAGTGAAGATTATGAACAATGCGTGGATACATTCAAGATAAGTAAACTTTAATGTTTGATGTGATTTGCAGTTAAATAAATTCAGAATTAAAGGAAAAGTTAATTCTGGTTGGCTCGATTTAATTTCGTTTTTAGTGATCAGGATCAAGTAAATATAAGAAAAATTCTGATCACCCTGACTAATTTTGTTTTCGCTGATCATCCAAAACAGTTATATGTCCTGTTGAATTTCAATTCTTTTACATGAAGTGTGATCACACTGATTATATCATGTGGGTTCTATCGCATACCATTTCCTTTAGTGCCGAAAGATAAATTTTGAAGTATCACTGCAATTAAATGAGGAATTTTGTGGAAACACTCACTGCTTTTGCAATTTTTTAAAAATTATAGTTGACTGAATATGTCGCAAAAAGTATTTTGTTCAAAGTTCAAGTATTTTGTTCTGTGCAAGTGTCGATATGAAGCAGTGAAAATAAATGTCAAATATAATAAATACATTATAAACAACTTTTAATGTTGATTTGAATCTGTTGAAAAATAATAACAGAAAAGATTTAGAAATATATGGTTTCAAATTGCTATATTTTGCACTAATGCAAATTAATGAAAGTATTCTATGACAGCTTATATTCTGAGAAAGGTACTGTGTTATTTTTATGTTATTTCAAGTAAATCAGTAGAAAAATGATGTAAAATTAGTCATTATTTTGTTTTATGTTTTGCTTTTGAATATGTATGTTTGATGTGTACTAAATCCATATAAAAATATTTTAAACTCTATATATGCTAGCACACTAAAAATTTTAGGCGCCCATTTTGAGGAATTTTATCAAATTTATTTAAGCATAGCTTATTTAGCAAATGAGAAGAAACGAGATTTGGTTGAATTAGCAGAGACACTAGGTGTTGTGATAGAGGAAAAATTAAGAATTCCAGAAATAAGTAATGCTAAGATCTCACATATTACGCGGAGTTAGTGACAGAATGTTTGAACCACATCATGAATAATAGGAAAGAAATGGAAATAGAATAACATGATGACAGAGAGAAAGAAAATGAATGGTTTTTTGAATTGGAAAAATAAAATTACAATCTAGTATTATTCCTAGCAGAGCGGAGTCTGCAACGGTACCGGTCTGCAGAGGAAGAAATGCCCAAGTTAGAATTGAACAAGTTAGTTCCTAATTTTGATCCTAAAACAGCCAATATGAGTTTATTTCTGAACTTGTTTGAGAGGCAATAAAACCTGAATGTACCAATCTCAAAATGGATAATCTATTTTGTTTCTCTTCTGCCAATCAATGTTTCAAAACTAATTGCAATAGAATCATTTGATGATGCTCAGGATTATCAGAAAGTTAAACAAATTCTCCTTAAGCGTTTCATATTGAGTGCTGAGAAATTTCGAGTACTGGTTAACTAACATAGAAAAAATCCAGAAACCTCATGGCAGACTTATTTTGACTTACAAAACTGCTTTCATGGGTGATGTAACTAGGGTGAGTAAAACAACCCACTTCAGCTTGTGGATAAATTCGATCTGTACAAAGAAGTTAGATAAATATGAAATAAAAACGTTAGTAGGAATCCCTTCACTTTCAATAATGAGATTTTCCCAAAAATTACAGAGATAATCCTCAATCTACTAAAAACGCCTCAACAAGAGATACTGCAAAAAATGAAGATTGACTAACTGTAGTTGCTATAGTTGTGAGAAGTCGGGCATTATTAAGGCTAAATGCCCCATCTGCTCCCCTCCTTTCAAGAAAGCAGAAGCTGATTCCAGAGCTATATACCTTTTTACATTCTCTATCCAGGAACCCCAGATGACTCTTTTGAGAGTAAAAATAAATTGATTTACCGTAACTGTAAGTGCTGACACTGGAGCCAGTCACACTATAGTGGGAGAAACGTTATACCGTCTTTTGAGAGAAAAACGAATAGAACTGGGGAAAACCAGTATGTTACCCTCGCCGATGGTTGTCAAAGGAAACAGAAGTTTATACGACCCAATATTTTGATACTAAAACTGAAGG